GAGGTGATTGGCAGAGGTTACAACTGGTTGACAGAAATAGAGGCCTTGTTACACTATAATGAACTAGAAGATTTCCAGAATGACATTAGAAAATTGCTATCGGGGTAGGCGGGAGCTTAGCGGTCAGTTATGGAACTCGCTCGTCGCGTTGTGCCTTGGGGCTCGCTGTCAAGCCTCGCCAGCAACCTCTCAACGGCTAGCGTACTAGAAGCAGAAACACGTTATCGACAAAGATAAGAGTGTCTGGAATGACCATTTCTGGCCTATTTGCCGTCACCTGCCAGTCATACCCAACCCCAAGCTGTGCGGCTCGAACCCACGACGCGTTAACCACTGCGACCAGGTCTCGTTGCCCTGTGAATTTCGATCGGGAACATTAACAATTGTATCTGGTAGCTTAGCTGTCGGTGGCGGGACTCACTCGTCCCGTTGTGCGTTGGTTCGAGCCGGTCTGTTATGTGATTCGAGGGTTGGACGATGTTTTTGAAATAAATAGAGATCGGGCCTGCGCCTGATACGTGCATGATCTAGCCTCCCACAAACAAAACACTGGGGTTTTACACGAAGGGGCGGCGGCTCGTTACTAACATTTATGATGATTTGTTATAGTTTCATAACATAAAGAATACGCCTCCCAATTACGCGGGAGGTTCTCTGATTATTTGCGGTCTTCGACCTTGTGAGCCATCCAAACGTCCCGAATTTACCGCAACCGTTGCTGCCCAGGGCCGCGACATCGATAAAAAGCTGCTTTATTTGCATCGGTCGGGCGGCCGATGTAGGCTCTATGCAGTCTATTATTTGCGGCGAGCAAGTTGATGATGGCTTCGTCGTTTTCGTCAAACTAGTCGACATGACGACATGCGCGTCTGAAGACATCCCAGGCAGTCGAGTGAACGGTGCCCCATAGTTTGCACCATTGAGTTTCTACGGAGGCGTTTTCATCTATAGCTTGCAGGTCTTCCAGTCGGTGGACTATTGCAGAGGTCGGAAACCTTTTTATCTTAGAGAGCCAAGGAAGCAAATATTTGAAAATATATTTCAGCGGGAGCCGTATAATAATCTGGTGTTAAAAATCCCACTTTTATCTGAGAGAGTCAGATGCGTGCTTGGTCGAGATTGAATTAATTCCGC